TAGTGACATAGTCACTCATTCCATAGTTTCACTCATTGCAAAACTACAGAACAGGCATCCTGTATGATTTTGTATTTCACAGGTCTTTCTTTCTTTCTTTATTTATTTTTTTACTTCATATTTAGGATGTCATGTGAAATTCTCTTATCCATTATCATTAAAGTCCAGCCTTTTTGAGCAGGTTCCTTGAATCCCTTAGCTTGTAGCTAATTTCAGGGTCTTAGCACATTAACATTCCTCTCACTTTTTATACATTCTATTCATAGACATTCCACTTCAGGATATATTTGAAAACATTAATAAAATCATCTTTAGTGATTAGAGTAAGGTAAAGGTGGAAGTACTTTAATCACTGGTCTTAAGACAATTGCTTTCAACTACTAATAAGGAGAAATGGATCTAATGTATCAATGGATTGGGTTTGAGTCTAAATAGCACAGGATCTATTAAGGTGTCAACATTTCTAAACACAGGGACACCTTTGGCCACGGATCTTTCACCAGGGACTAAGAGAGTAAGTAATTTGGTAAAATAGTGCTGTTCTGCTATTCTGACACTTAACTAGTTAATGGTCAACAGAGGCAGGAAGGCTGGGAGGCAAATGATGCCCCACTACAGATGAAAAAGCTCTTTCAATAAAGCAAGAAATTATATTAATTTCAGAAATTATTTTTCATATTTAATAATTTTAGTTTTCCCCATCTGCATGAAATCTAAATAGATATAGATTATGGCTAACAGGAACAGGATGAAGGACTTAGATTCAAGAAGCGCTGGTATGAATTATTATTATATATTTTTTTTCCACAGCTTTCCAAATGCAGAAATATTTAAGCAGTTCTCTAACATTTAACTTTTCCAATGCTATAATAAACTAATATTAAAGGAACACTCACTATAATTCACTTTGTGTTATGAATTCATATCAAGTGGAAGAAAGCAAAACAACTAGATATTTACATACTTTGCCATAAATAACTCTTTTGACTTTCTGGAAATGCTACAAATTAAAGACGTGGCAAACTGAAACTTTATGAAATGCCAATGGTAGACCAATATCTATTTGCTATTTTGGCCTTTTGAGTCCTATGAATGGGATTTTAGACTTCATGAACTCATGAACATGGTTTCTACTTCACTCTAATTCAGAGGAGATGCATTTCAATCCAAACTAGCTCATCCAAATGTAGCTAAAGATCCTTTTGTATTTTCTGTTGTATATAAAACCTGTATAAAAGTCACTTCAGGTATATATGTCTAATAACCTTGTAACAAAGCACACTTTTGTAATTCCTGAATTCTTCAGGAAAACCAACAGCTTTCAAAAACATTGAGTCTTCTTGAAGAATGACTCTAGCTGCAAAATTCAGATACCCTTGAAATTAAATAAAATGAGATTCTGTGTCATAAGACGAGTATGTTACCCTTACTCTGAATCTCTGCAGTTATGCAAGTCAAACTAAGTAGTCTGTTGAAGACAGAAAGCTGAGGTCAAAGGAAACGCTTTCATTACACTGATTCTGAAATACTGAGATCTTAGTCAAGAGCTCTTCCATAAAAGAACGCGTGCACAGAGTAGTCCTACAACAGCGGTGAAAGCTTCTACTGTACTTAAAAAGATACTGGTGTGATAAACTGCACATAGTCACTTTTCGTAGTAGCTGAGGTCAACTGCGTTTGAAAACCCAATTTAAGAATAGTTCATACATGATTACTTTTTTAAAACACTTCCTGAAAAAGTGGAAAAAAAAAAAAAAAGAAAAGAAAAGAAAAGAAAAAGAAAACCACAACCAAAACAATCAGGAATGATTAAGAACAACTTCTGAGTTTAAGATGCAAATTGAAAATTAAATACAGAAAAAAGGCCCAATTAATTAATAGTACAGTAATAATAATTATAATATTAATAATAATAATAATCCAAACAAATAAACAAAAACCAAAATGAAGAACACAGAATTGCTATGAGCAATTCAGTAATTTCTAATAATTAATACTACTTATGTGGGTTGGCAATAACAGAAGAAAGCAAAATGGTAATAAATACCTCTCCTTCTTCTGTATTTTAAAATTTAATGGCATTAGCAGATCTATTCATTCCATTTAATAGAAAATATAGTTAGGCACGTCGGTGTATGAACATATGATATAAACCCTCCAAATTAATGAAATTATTAATTGAAAGGAAAACATGTTTTTGAATAAGAGCAGATACCAAAATTTCATCGAGTTGATCACGCAATTCTAGTTTTTTGGATAATAGCAAAGGATCAGGTTGTTAAGAATGTCTAGAGAACATAAAAAAGATTCAATAATTGCATTAGGGAAAGCACTCCATAATGCATGTGTGAACTTTAAGTACAGACTTCCTAGCACTTCAAGAGGTATTCCAGCACGTTATCATACAGATGATTCTTGACAAAGCACAACATTAATACTAAGCATCTCTGATCAAACTGTAAAGAATTTTAAAATTATTTTTACTAATATCATATGGACAATTTAGTGGCTAGGCAGCCTTTTTTCAGCTTCAAGGCAACACAAGATTTTGAATTAAGCTTTCATATCTGATTTGCAAGCAGGCTTCTTGTGGTTCTCAGTCTGAACCAAGGAACTTACATTCCTTGAACCATCTTGAACTCTGACACATTTAATACAGATGGCTTTCTAGAAGAAATGAAGCATTGCTGTTCTAGTTGAACCAGACACCCAGATTTTGTAGGATTTTTTGTTCAAGCTTTATCAGGTGATTTAAGAGTGTCTACAGAAACATTCTTTTAACTGTGTAGTACTCATAAAGTTTTAAGCAACTTCTTACATGATTTACTACCAGGTATCTTAACTCTGCAGGTTACTGGACATTGCATTTTTTTGTTGTTCTTTTCAGATTGTTCTCATCTCTTTAGGACCACGCAGTTTTATATTATATTTAGGAAGACTGCCTCAAAAGAAGAAAATAATTTCTGTGCTAAAGCCAGATGGAAACTTGCCATGAAATTAGGACCTTGGAATGATTCAACAAGGGATTCGACGTTTCTTAAACTTGCTAGCATGAAGGGAACTTGAAACTGTTTCCATTTCAAGCTGCACTCTCTCTTTTTTTCTTCATACTGAGAGAAGGTTGTTAACTGTAAGAGAGCTTCCCAACTTTCTGCTTAAGTCCTTTTGTGCCACTACCTTGTCAGAAGAGCAGTATTATGAAATACGTGAATGCCAGAAAATCCTACGATTTTATTATCTTTGTAGATGTGGTTTTGGCCTTGAAAAATAAAAGGTATTAACAAGGTACGTCCTGGATGGACCACAGAAAATTTCACCCAAGAGCAATTTACAGATCCTGAGTTTTTGAAACTTTTGCACGTCCAGTTTTACTGATTGCCTTGCAAACATAATCCTGACTAAGTCAGGGAAAAATGCAAACAAAAGCTGTGCATTTAATCATATTTTTTTCCCCCAGTCTGGTTGCGGCTCTAAGTCGTCTGATTGAATCAGACACACAACCTTTGCGTGAACCCAACGCGCTATTAGGAGGCAGCTACAGGAACGGATGGATTCCCAAAGGCCGTTGCTTAAATGAGTCCAGTCAAGTAGTTTACCTCCATGTCAGAGAGGAAACAGTTAAAGAGCTCTCAGTGTTCCCCCGTGCCCGGGAGGCAGCCTTTGTGTTTAACGTTGGCAGGGGCTCGGTTCGGGCTGCAGACTTGTTTTAATTGGGGGAGGGGGCAGAACGGAGAGGACGCTCAGCATTCTCCTTCAGTCTGCCTTTCCGTTACTGATTCAGCGGAGGTGGAGATTGTCTATCCCACCCAGTCAGCGGCAGGCGGGAGGATCCGCCGAGACCATCCCAGGAAAAGCTCTCGGAGGAAATCGCGGCAGCGGGGGCAGCAGCCGCAGCATGAGCGCGGAGCCGGGGCCGGCCGCACGGCTGGGCTGAGTGCGCGGAGCCGGCCGCGGGGCAGCAGCCCGCAGGTAATGGCGAGGCACGGCGTGACCGGCGGGTGGGGGCGAGGGTGGATCCCCGTAGTGGTGCGGGTGGAGGGAGAGCCTTTTGTGCCAGCGGGAGAACTGCGAGGCAGTCATCCTGGCAGCGAGGAGACCTCGCTGTGCCGCGGTGGGAGACAGCCCAGAGGAACTCACGTTCTCGGCGCTGCTTCTTTCACAGCTTTCGAGCCCTGGTTTAATCAGATCTTGTTCTGATCTGTACCTCAGCCGCTTTTAGGGCAGATAAAGCGTTGTTCACGTTTTAGCTGCTCTTTAATGCTCGGGACGCTTTCACTTACAACAGTACGCTTTCCTTGCGATTCGAGGCGCGTAGAGCTTTGGGCTTGCTACCCCAGCACGGGATGTTCCCGAGCCCGGACTCTGTAAGCACAGGGACAGCACACGCACGTGGCCTGCAGGTCTGCCCCATCGCCTCACACCGTGCGGAAGAAGAAAATTAGAGTACATTATTGCTGAAAGTTAGTAAGGGTACCGCCGAGTTACCTACGTGAGGAGGGTCGCAGGTCGTTATCATATGCTGTAATAATACACACACTGTGGATTTGACAGGAATCCACAGGAAAAGATCATTAAAAATTATTTTATAAAAACACAATTTAATTTTGCTTCTTATGGGAAAGTTTCTGCTGAAAGAGGGAAGAGATGGCAACCGGCAGTTCTGTTCCCAGCTTTGCTTGCTGCCTGTGTGATTACCATGCCATATGGCACGTGCATATTAAGCTGTCACAGGAAAACGTCATTAAATAAGGAGTACACTATATTGTGACTAAGAGAGTCTGTGGGAGCTGTAGTCACTGTAAAAGATGTAAGTATAAATATTTGTCTGAAAAGAGTTGTGGTAAAAAAAAGTTGCCTGCTATTTCCGATGCGATTTAGAATCGTAAAGCAAAAGCACTTCCATCCTGCTGACTGTTGCTGACCATCCATTGTAACAGGCATTTAACAAAGAAGGATTTGCTGTTCAGCATATAAAACTTTAAAAGCACACAGGTACTCACACTTGGTCAGCTGGCCATCTCAGATGCACCACGATAGAAGACTCAGTTTGGATCGCTGGTCTGCATACGCTCTGCATAATAGACAGAAATAGCCATTAGCTTTACAGAAGCTGCATACAGCCATGCACACACTTTTACAGATCACATAATAAATATTTATAGTGTGGCTGCGCAGAGCTCCTATCAGTAACTTGTCTGCCACATTTTTTCTGTTGTAAATTGTTTTCTTGTTATAAACCGAATTAATAGCTCTATAGGGAATGAAATAAGGACTCATTTAAAGGCTCCCTTCATACAAGTCTCTAGAAATCAGAAAGTTATAAATACTTGACTTTCTATTCTTCTTTTGGCAACACTGCCACAAGCCACCTAAAGAAACTTCATCCTACATTAGACTAAGATTTGAAGGAAACGGATTTTAGAGTGTCCTCCTTGGCTTATACCTCCAGCAGGTTTCACAGAAGGTGCTATCTGCCCCCTGCAGCAGGAGCCAACAACTCTGGAGACACAAACAGGCAGCTATACCAGGACAGAATGCTATGATGCTTCCTTTCCTATCTAAAAATGTCATGTTATCACTTAGAATACTAAACCAAGTTGTTCTATTTTTTTTTTTATCTGTGGAAGAGAGTGATTTTTTTTCATAATTAACTGAACCCTGGATAAGGACTGCAACATGAGCTACAATTACATGATTCAGAACCAAAGACTTATCTTTATCTCAGCAAATTGACACAAGCAGTTTTAAGGACTTGTCCTGGTCAAACGTCCTGAGATTATCAAAGTCTTCCCCCCAATATCTTTGGACTTCAGATCCAGTCCAAATTTTGATTTGAAATACATGTATTTTCACACTTCTTCTGAAATCTGGATAATTATAAAGTTAAGAAAAATAACATAAATCCTAATTATTGCAAAATATAAAAAACACAAAAAAAAAAAACAACCAAATATAGTGCCTGTAATTATTAATGCAGAATTGGTACCTTACCTTTAAATAGCCAAAATAATAACCTTTCATTTAGTTTAAAATACCACAGAACAGTCTCCAAGGGCTCCCTTTAATGGTATACTTTTCTTGCAAGACTACTTTTTAAAACAAAGCTTCACCCACCATATTTTGTCCTTTCATATACAAATTCTGTCTCCAACTAAAAGGATCCTGCAGGATCTCATCTGTCTTTGTGTCTTGTTAGTGAATTAATGAATGGGGGCAATCTAGATTTCAGAGTAACACGATAATGATGAACAAGTGTTTACATACATGCACTACAGAAAGTGCACAAATGCCCTTCTTTCTACCTGATAAATAGGATGTGTTACCCTACTTGGTGTACTGATGTTCCATTTCTTTTCTTTTCTTTTTTTCTTTTTTTCTTCTTTTTTTTTTTAATTGTTTTTCTCTGCAGGTGAAAAACTGCTCAGTATTTCACTGAGATACTGAAAAAACCTGCCTCGCTGACTTTGCCCATTTGGGACTTCGTGATGGAAGCCTTGTATTTACGAGTTTCTTTGCTGCTGCTGCTTTTGGGATTTGTCTTCTGTGACAGCTCTGACAGATACGCTACCAATCGGAGCGATGTGGGAATCTACCTTTCCACTTCCTCAGGGATTGAATCCAGCCTACTCCCCGCCACTAGACGGCCCCTGGTATCCAACCAAACTGTCAAATGCTCCCAGCAGACTAAGATTGCTGAAACTTTTAAATACATTAACACGGTGGTATCTTGTGCTATTTTCATCGTTGGAATGGTTGGGAATGCAACTCTGCTGAGGATCATTTACCAGAACAAGTGTATGAGGAATGGCCCAAATGCACTGATAGCCAGTCTGGCACTAGGAGACCTTATCTATATTGTCATTGATATTCCTATCATTGTGTACAAGGTAGGATGCGACAACATCACCTTTTAACTGCAGTTTCCTTACAAGTACACTAGTTCTCTTTGGTTACTTCTCTAAGTAATACTTCTTTGTCAATGAATAGTTCACTTAAGAAAAAAACACAACTTGCTTTCATTCTATAACAATGTTCTTGCTCTCAGGTCTAACCTCTTCATTTAAAGATGTAGCTCCAACCTACATTAGTGCTATATCAAGTAGCTTTTCATTTATCCTAACTGCTATAGCTAACAAAACAAATTGTGAGAGTAGACTTTTTATAAGTTGTTCTCCCACTTTATGGGCAGCATATATATAGTATAGGGCTAGTTGCTATTTTTGGAATATTTTATCCTTACTTTATGTTTTTACAGAAAATACTCTGTGATCAGCAAGATTCATGTTATGACTGCAGAGAGACATTGTGTCAGTCACGCTGTGAATTAAGGTTTTAATTCAACACTCATAAAAAACAGATTTCCGAAGTTATTTCAGGGCTAGTAATTATTAATTATATCACAGAACACTTTTGAAGAATCAAATTTCGTCTGGTTTTCTCAATGTATAAAAGGGGTCTTCAGCACTTCTGTCCCACTTGTTCTTTCTCTTTTTAAATTTTATCTTTCATTTTAATCAAACAAAGCCATAAAATGGTGCTTTTTTTCTAACGCAATATATGTTTACTAACATAACATCCCAAAGAGTGGTCAAGCACTGGAACAGGCTGCCCACGGAGGTGGTGGAATCACTGTCCCTGGAAGTATTCAAAAAACATGTAGATGTGTTACTAAGGAACATGGGTTTACTGGGTGATATTGGTGGTAGGTGGGCAGTTGGACTAGATGATCTTAGAGGCCTTTCCCAACCTTAATGATTCTATGATTCCAGGACAGGCTTGAAGGAATGGAATGAAGTCCTTTTTGAATATATGTATCTCAGTGATGTTAACTTGTTTTAGAAAGTCTTCAAATAATTTTGTAATCCTTGTGGATTATACAAATCCAGAGCTGACAGGATATCAGTAAAAACTTGAGGCATTTCTGACAGTAAACGTTAACATTAAGTAGCATAATGAATTGACCATTCCTCACATTTTGGCCTTTAGAGATCATAGAAACTTAACTTTTAGGTACATGAATTTTAAACAAAGCAAATTAATTCATGCATAAATTTAGATTAAGTAGTGTTCCATGGTTTCCAGTTGGATTTTTAAATTATAAAAAAAAAAACCACCGGTGAGCTGAATAAAGAAGTATGTTCTATCTATTGCATAGTGACTTGGCCTGCATTATAACACAGGCGTTGATACAGCAAGATCATAACAGCCTGAAATCATTAATGAATTAAAAATATGTGTATGTGCATACATTTAGTTTCTGTAGAGCCATATAACCAACAGTAACATGCATGACCTGATTCTGATCTTACGGTAGTATAAATTACAGATAAATCTTTAAACTTGGCTTAAACATAGTATGAATTTGAAAACAGGAAAAAGGCTGTTAATCACAATGAACATGATTTAATGGAAATGCTCCTTTCCACTTTCCTGTATCCCATCTGGAAAATACAATGTTCAATTTAATAATAAGATAGCAGAAGAAAATATTTTATATTCTCAAGGTAATGCATATGATTAGCCTTTGCCTGACTTGAGATTACCCTTTGTCTTCCATACCTATGGGATGCTTAATGAGACATGAGATTAGGGTTTTGCATATTTTCATTCTCATTACTAAATTGGATTTATAGCCTGGACTACATCTCCCATAATGCACTGCTGTCTTTATAGATATTTGCTAGGGTACTGTTCTTATTTCTTTGGAATGTTTGATAAGAAAATTGAAGGAAAATATGGCATGTGTTTTTTCCAAGCTAAGTTTGGGAAAGAATAGGTATTCCTACTACAAAATCTTTTCTAATCTTTCAAGAGCTGTGCTGTACCTTCACATTGAAAGGGAACTGGAAATATGAAATTAATTTTGCCTTTCAGAACTGCCTTTTGATAGTCTTCTGAAAATTCTTAAGGAGTTTAGTTAAAAGCAACAAGCTACATTTTTAAACTCCTTTTATTATTTTTAAATACATTTTTACAGTTAATCTTCTGACACACTGTCTGTTCTGAAAGTTCACTAGCCTCACTATAACTTGTATGATGAACTGTGCTATTGAACATGACCATAGACTATATCAAAATATCTTTCTGGACTGCAGAGAAGTATTTGATAATTAAAGGCTGCAAATGAAACTGCAAACCCCTGACATCAATGTATGTCAACTCTTACATGCTACAACTCAGAATTAAAATCGTGATGACAAGCATAACCTAGCTTTTAGTAGTTTTCTGAATGCTAGAACATCCAAAATTATTTACTTAAAAATTCTCATATGCAGCCACCTTGTTGGTTAGCTGCATGTGTTCTGAAACATGGGTGTGCATGTAGCATTTATAGTGAGTGCTATCACTTTTGCTAAGAAATTATTAGTTACAGGACAATTTTCAAGTTACCCATTCAGTAATATGTCATTAGATTATCATTAGATGTCATTCCTATTTGTATCTCAAGAGATCCTCAAATCTGTGGCACCATTTAATTCCCCTAGCTGAGTGATAACATCAAGGATGGTGACTGGAAGTACAACCATCTGAAGACAGTAGTGACAGGAGGAAAGAGTCAATGATTCTGTTATGCACTTAACAATGATGTGGCAATTAAAAAAAAAAAAAGGAAAAAGAAAATAAGAAAAAACCAAAGAAATTACATAATTGATGTCAGATACAGATACGGTCACAGATTTTTGCCATTTTTATCCTCTGTACTATATGGTAGACTCAAGAATTACTACTTTCTTTCTCCAATTACTGTAATTATATGGTGGATTCCCCTTAGCAATTTGTTAAATGGTCTGAGATGTTAGTAATATTCACTAGCCTCCTTTGAAGATATTCTGAATATATTTAAGTCCCATCAGGCTTAATTACCTCTAGTATATTCACTTATAGGATCAAATCAATATTAAAATTTGTAACAAATGAGCTTTACTAGAAGGATACCAATTATAAATCCAACCTAATGGACTGAGCAACTCATTCTAACACAATTTGATTTTCAATCACACTTACAGAACCTGGACCCAAATTGTTTTCTCTTAATGCAAAACATACAAATCTCAGATATTCACGATATCA